AGGGTGGTGGGTGGAGGTGTAGCAAGGTATAGGGGGGATAAATGGTGATGGAAAAAAATAAAGAAAAAAATACACACTAAACTATTAACAGTAGTACCCATGGGAAAGAAAGCTTTTCTTTGAACTTTAGAACAAGCATATATTATTTTGTCATTTAATATGATTGTGTTTTTGATTTAATAATAGGTAGCATTTATTGGTCACTTTAAACAATAAAAGTAAAAAAATACAGACTAAGAGTTGAAAAGAGTATCTGAGTGACTTAAATGTTTCCTACCTCTCGAGGAATAATGAATTTGTCAACCTTTCCTTCAACATCTTGAAGCCGGGCAGAAACTGGGGTCAGTTTGGCAGTCCGAACAGTTTCACAAAGCACCTGCCGACAATATCTGTTTCAAAAAAATATTTTTTGAAGATCTTTATTTTGGAGAGGCAGTTAGAAATGTAGAAACATTTCAAAATATCACTCAACAACTTTCATAATCTTCCTAATTTGAAACAGTCACAGGATAATTCTTTTTTGTTTGGAGATATGTTACATATTAGATGTATATAAAGTCTAGGTGGGTAAAGATTTAAACAAATAAAAACATCCTTTAAAATACCAAAGAAAACTCAAAACAATAGTTTTATAATTTTTGAGTAGAAAAGCCCTTTATTTTTTATAAAGGATTTAATTAAAATTTTAGTAAAGGACTTTTCTACTTAAAAATTATATAAATATTGACACAATGACGAAACCATAAAGAAAAACAACCTGCTTATGAAATTTCTTATATATTTGCAATTATCATACATAAAATTAAGATAACTAGGAAAGATACTGACAGTAAATCTATCCTTAATGTATCAAAGCTCTTTAAAAATCCACAATTGAAATAATCAAACACCCCAATAGACAGATATATGGACAGAGAATATAGAAAAGTGATTTACAAAATAAATACAAATGGCCTGAAAACATATGAAATGATACTCAACCTCATTAACAATGGAAAGATTGCATATCAGAGCAATTTTTTTTGCTGGGCAGATTAGCAAAGATGAAAAAGAATGACTAATAAAAATGGGGAAAAAGACACTGATAGTCAATTGGTGGAAGTATAAATTGGTATAACCTTTCTGAAGGGTAATTTGGTTAATATACAGTATAAGAATATTAAGTGTGCACCACAATGAGGAGAATAAAACTAAAATGTATTGAAATCTTGCCAGGAGCCAGTTCTGTTAATAGTTTCTATACAGTATCTTTTTTTTTAATTTCTTTTCTTTTCATCCTCACTCAAGGATATTTTTTCCATCGCTTTTTAGAGTGGAAGGGAGGGGGAGGAAAAGAAACATGGACATGAGAGAGTGACTGGTTGCCCCCCGACCTGGGCAGGGATCAAGCCTGCAACACAGATATGTGCCCTTGGCTGGAACTGAACCCAGGACCCTCCAAGGATCAACACTCTAACCACTGAGCCAAACTGGCTAGGGCTAGGCAGTATCTCTTTTAATCCTTGTAAGAACCTCATGGATCCTGTTATATGTTATGTATTATATGTTATGTATATTATATGTGTATGTTATGCATTTTTAATGTTTTTTAAATTTTTTGTTTTAAATACATATGTATATATGAATGGAAAAGTAGTAAAATACTTAACAATTTTTATCCCTAAAGGTACATTTACAAAGAATGTACCCTCTATCCCTTCTACTTCATACACTTCTGTATTATAAAAATTTCACAAGACAACTATGTACTACTCTTAAAATTAAAGATGGTTATATTCAGTGTAACAAATAAAACTTCCAACATTCTGAAGACTCTGTACCAGAAGCCTCCCTGTGAAATCCATGCTTTGAGGTTTTTTCCAATGGCTGTATCCCTATCTTCATTTCTGATTGAAAGATGTTCCAAGATAGGGCTGCTTGTTACCCAGTCTCAGACTTTTAATCCCCTAAGCAGTCACAGCTGCTATTTTTAAAAGTCTTTTAAATTATTACTTACATACAAATTCATCTATTTTTTTAAAATAAATTTTTATTTTTCAGTTACAGTCGACACACGATATTAGTTTCTGGTTTCACTTATATGTGGAACCTAAAATAATTTCATTTATTTTACCTGTGTAATTTGATGAATTTTAGTAATTGTATATAATTGTGTAACCACAGCCACAAGCAAGACACAGAACAAGGCCTGGTGGGTGTGCCCAGTGTTTGAGCGTCAACCTAGGCACCAGGAGGTCCTGGTTCCGTTCCGGTCAGAGCACATGCCCTGCTGCAGGCTTAGTCCCTGGCCTGGAGCGTGCAGGAGGCAGCTGATCAATGTTGATGTCGATGTTTCTATCTCTCCCTCTCCCTTACTCTCTGTATAAAGAATCAATAAAAACATATTAAAAACAAAACCATAGAACAAGAACAGTTCCCTCACCCTAAAACCTTTATTCAGGACCCTTTGTAGCTGATCCCCTCCACATTCCTTGCCCCAAACAAGCACTGATCTGCTTTCTATTAGACTAGTTTTGCCTTTTCTATAATTCCACCTAAATGAAATCATGTTGCAGGCAATCTTTGTGTTTGACTTCTTTCACTTAGCATAATGAGACTTTCCATGTTGTGTGTATTGATAGTTATTTTTTATTTTAAAAATATTACTTTCCTTACATCAGATATGCCTCAAGAAAAGTAATTTTATGTTGTATTCTACTACATTATAAGTAGATTGAGAAGTATCATTTCATGGTCTTTTACCTATAAATATAAAAATAAAGACAACAATGTAACAGTCTTATTTTTCTTCATGGCAACTCCTCAGTCTGTTTTCCGCAGTTAGGGAAGGAGGAGGGCAACCTTCTCTGTGCCTCCCTAGTGTTTCTCGAAGCTCTAGCAGAGACATTTTCTGCAATTGGTTTTCCATATTTGCCAAGAGTCTGTTTCCTCTTAACACTCAACATGTTTAACAGAAGTCTTGTAATAGTTCCAAAAATAATAAAACCCCAAGCATAAAAGTGATACATTGGTTTATCATTGTGGCTTTGGTTTTGCTAAGTTCTTTTAAACAATTTTTAGTGTCAAATGATGTGATAGAAATAAAGTTTTCCTTCACAGTAATAAAATCCACTAAGAAATGCAGTCAATGACTTGTACAGAGGGTGAGAATTATCTGCTCAGAGGCCAGCCCAGGACAGTATGGCCATCTCAATGTCTGAGACTTCTCATTAGTGATATGAGGGAGGTTTGGTTAACTTCAATGCTATATTGTGTTACTTTTTATTATTTGGTAATATTCCATGGTAAGGATATAATACAATTTGTTTATTTACCAGTTGATGAACATGTGGACTGCTTCCAGTGTTTTGCTATTATAAATAATATTGCTGGGAACATTTGCACGTAGATTTGTGTGGACATTTGTTTGTATTTTTCTTGGGTGAATGCCTAGGAATAGAATTGTGGGTCAAATGATAAAGGTATGTTTAACTTTATAAGTTCTGCCACACTGTTTTCCTACAGGACTGTTCCATTTTCCATTCCCACCAATAAAGTGTGAATGTTCCCCTTACTTGACGTCACTGATACTATTTTATACAGGTTAATGTAAAGCTTGCCCAGAGCTACCATATGGTTTTAGAAAGTAAATTAAATTACCTATTAAAACCTTATGTAAATATAACGATTTAAGTCCTATAAAGATATGTAGCTTTCCTAGATGTTAGCATTAGCTCTAAATTTGATAGTCAAACCAATTCAAATTTACCTTTTAATGATCTCCTCTTAATGTGTTCTTACCTGAGCTGCTCAATTTTCTCTGGAGTAATAGGACCCTTCCCAAAAACTTGGTCTATCTCTTCATATAGTTTTTTCTGCACTTCTTCTGAGGTGGTTAAAAAACAGATTGCCCAGGTGCACACTAAGTGAAAATATATATTAATAACAATGAAAACAGCTAACTCATAGTTTGGGTGCAGAATAAGAAAAAAACTTATTTTTTTGTATTTTCCTTTTTTTATAATATAGAAGATAAATGCTGCCAAAAACAAAAAAGTAAAACAAGGTTGTTTAAAGGATTTATACTTCATTGAACAAAACATAAATATTTAAAGAATACTCCCCAAAACAGAAAGTGCAACCTGGAAGATTTCTCTCTTAAACTGGCAAGTAATTGAAGCTATGTTTTTAAAAAATTTATTTTATTTTTCTGTCACCATTTACCCCCTCTACTCCCTCTTCCACCTTCCCCTCTCCACCCCCCTCTCGCAATCACCACACTGTTGTCCATGTCCATGACTATACATGAGGTGAAATTGTAATGATAATAAACTTAACTTCAGGGGGGAATGTTAAATGTTGATAACTTTGATGGATTGTCTGGTTCACTCAACCTTGAAAAATCAAAAACTGATTTATCAGTTCACTTAGCAGCCCTAATGAAATGACTTATACAAATCAAAGTTAGCAGGAGCTTTACCTACAAATCAATATTCTAAATTTTTACTTGTAATAGGATATACTGGCTCAAGAACTCAGACTGCTTATTGCTTAGGACAGTGGTTCTCAAAAATCACCTGGGAGTTGGTTGATGGCAAACTCAAATCCACAGATTCTTATTTAGTAGGTTTATGGTAGGATCTAAGCATCAGTACTTCTAACAAATACCACAATTATTTTGATGAACACCAAAACTGGAGAATCACTAGCTTATGGCTTACTTTTCGTTAAAATGGCTTATGGATTAAATTCATTGTGGAAATGAAAAGGTAAGAAAATTACATGATGAACATAAAACAGAGTAGTTGTATTTCCTTTAGTAATCCACTGGGATTACAACTAATCAAAGAATTAAACCATGCAGATATATAAATTGCTTGGCTCAGCTCTACTTTTTCTATGTCAAGAACGTTTTAAAATACACTCACTAATTTCTACCTCTACTTATTATCTCTTTTCCTGAGCTAATAAGTGCTGCACAAATTTGCCTCAAAGTTAAATTTTTTTAATGTTTGCCTAACTCACACATTATCCAATTCCTATGCCTAGAAAAGATATATTTCACTTTCTGCACTAAATATTATTAATGAAATCAATAGCTATCTAGTCCTCAATTATTTTGATAATTTACTCAAATCTAGAGTTCAAAAAAGGCACATGATAAGTCACTGCCTGTCCTTAACATTTTCCTGCATGTTTCCTTATTATGGCTTTTGAGTGAACTGCAGAATTTCTGTTTCGCAAACTAAACGAACAAGCAGAACAAAAACATACTCACAGAGAACATTTGACAGCTGCCAGGTGGAGGGGTTTGGGGATGGGTGAGAAATGTGAAGGGATTGAGAAGTACACATTGGCTGCTACAGAACAGTCGTGGGGATGTAAAGTACAGCATAGGGAATACAGTCAATAATATTCCAGTAACTATGTATGGTACAGAGGGTCAATATTTATCAGAATGATCCCTTAGTAAGTTACGTAAGGTCTAATCACTGGGGTATACACCTGAAACTAATAATGTATGTCAACTGTAACTGAAAAATAAAAATGATTTAAAAGTGGGAAAAAACAAGTGACATGAAAGCTAGTGCAGATGGTGTACAATATGTGTTATATGAAATTTTACAAAACTATACAGTTAAAATACTGAAAGATTTAACACAAAGATCTGAATACAGTAGGTACTCTGTATTCAGTACACCTTGCTTGACTAAATAACCACTTATAATTAATATAACTGTATAAGCTTAATANCTTGCTTGACTAAATAACCACTTATAATTAATATAACTGTATAAGCTATCTCAAACATTGGTTCTTTTATAGAACTCTATTAAAAATAAAGTATGACTGGGGATAGCTTAGAAGTGTGATTTTTAAGCCACCAAATATTCTTTAATAATACTATTGAACCACCAAGACACAATTTTATAGTTGGGAGATACCTTGGAGGTCATCTATGGCTAAATCCTTATTTTAGAAAAGAAGAAGATGCAGAGGTAAGCACCTTGGTTCAAGGCTAATAACCAGCAGAGGAGAAACTTTAAAGTTTCCTGCTTATCTTGCCTCTCAAAAACTTCAGAGGTGACTTAAAAAATAACCAACCCACATGCAAAGAAATACTGACACTGAAAATTTCCCCTACAAACAGCAAATAAGATTAAAATATTAACTCAGCCTTGGAAATGGTCACTTTTTGTGGTCTCCAGAGAACAAATGATTCAGATTTTTTGAAGGTCTTTAGCAAAAATATATATGTATTTCACTTGTTAATCCTCACCTGAGGACATTTTTTCCATTGATTTTTAGAGACAGTGGAAGGAGAGGGAGAAAAAGAGAGAAATATTGGTGTGAGAGAGACACACCAATCAGTTGCCTCCCACAGGCATTCCAACCAGGGCCGGATGGAACCTGCAACCCAGATATATGCCCTTGACCAGGAATTGAACCTGTGACCCTTTGGTGCAAGGGCTAATGCTCTAATCACTGAGCGCAAACCGGCCAAGGGGCAAAAATATATTTTAATGTAATATAATTTTAAAACAAGATAAGCATTGTTTTGAAAGGTTCAGTACAGCCCTGGCCAGGTGGCTTAGTTGGTTGGAGCATCATCCCTACACCAACAGGCTGAGGGTTCAATTCCTACTCAGGGCACTTACCTAGGTTGCAGGTTCGATCTCTGGTTGGGGGCAACCAATCAATGTTTCTCTCACATCAATGTTTTTCTTTCTCTCTCTAAAAATCAAAAATCAATAAAAAACATCCTTGGGTGAAGATTAAGAAAAAAAGGTTCCCTACATTATATTTGACACAAGCTTACCTAAAGTCCATTTAACTTACAATATCTGGACATCTCTAAATGTCAACAATTTTACAATGAGAAAAAATTATGGGAAGTTTATATTTGTAGTCGTTTTTAAGAAAACTTCCTTCAAAAGAAAGAGTTATAAACAAAATCCTTGAAGTGAACATAAATTTTTTTACATTTTAAACTGATGCTTTAATACTTCCTTTAGCATTTTATGTTAATATATTTTTATAGCTATATACAAATTTTTACAAATACTGTATAAATGACTGGCACTCTGCTAAACTGAAAACCAGTAAGGAAACTTAAAAACATATCACACAATTTTAGATTTTTAAATAAAAAATCACCTCAATCAAACAAAAGATTTCTTTTAAACCATGATTTCTGTGGTGTGTCTCTTCTGCTGGTAGACCTTAATAACAGCAGACTGAACTGGAGTCAAAGTGAAATGCCTCAGTAGGAAACTGAAAAGCACACTGCTCAGTAGTAAAGGTGTCAATAGCAGTTCATTTTAAAAGCACTAACTAGAATTCACAATCCAAAAACTGTGTCAAAAATTTCATGGCAATATTCAGAGGTGGCATAGAACACCTGGGGTTAAAAAAAAAAAAAAGGTACCTGTGTGAATCAAACCTTTCAAACAAGAATGAAAAAGAAGAGGGAAGGAAAATTATAAAGAGGTCTTGAAAGCAGTGTTTCCTTTATTTTAGAATAGCTTTACCTTTGTATATTTTATACTCTTGTCTCAAGAAGGAATCGAGTTATACTTACATTTTGCAGTTATTATGCAACTGGCCAGAGAAAATATCATACTGTCTTCTAGGATCTAGGAAACAAAATTAAGTTTAGAAATACTAAAGTAACCTAGAGTATAGAATTAGGGTCAAGGAAAGGGGAAAAGTACATTATTTCTTTATGATGTCTCAAGTTTAAAAATCTATATAATATATAAAAACTAACCTAAAAATCATATTGCCTTTTTTTATGCAGTAAACATGTATCTATAATATTACTATCTCATGATACATTTTTGCAAATAAACTGGCTCAGTCCTCTCTTTCTGGCTTGGCTGGTGGAACAATGAAGCCTCAGGAAAAATGGCGAAGAGCCTGCCACTCACTGTCTTTGGAGCCTGATTCAATTTCTACACTCACACACACACACACGCACGCGCGCCAAAAAGCCACTTCTGTTCTATGAAGGCTTGCAACATGCAGAACGGGGCTGAGGCTTCCTACAACAAGAGGGTGTGGCAAAATGGGTTCACTCTGTCCTTTGCCTGACAACACCACACAATGGTGTGCTGGGGGGTAACAGACACACACTGAACAAGCCAAGCTGCCACATCTGGTTATGGGGCCAGAGCAGTTTACTTGATCAAGGCTCATACAGGTCCTCCTATTTTATGATCAGAGAATTTTGGCTCAATATTTGCTTACCCAAACATTAAATAATATACAGCTGCTTCAAAAAGCTAAACAACAGGAGACTAAATATTATACTGTTTATGGATGATGTACAGTAAAAGAAAAGAAAGCTACTGAATTTTGGAGGGCATTTGGGTTAAATTAATAAAAAATGCACTTTACACATGTGTAATGTATCTTTTATTTGATAAATATTTAACAATTACATTACCTGTTGGTCATTAAGGTTCCCCTGTACTAAGGAGTCGATGAAAATACGTTGACTGAAGTTCCTTCCTTTTCGTTCTTTTATGATTTTCTTCAAAATAGATTCTAGTTGCATAAGGGCTTAGAGAAGAAAAACAAAAAAAGATTTTATAATACAAGAACTTGTACAGATTAAACTTTTAAAACATTTCTGTACAATGCTACTACTGCAGAATGACATTTTCAAAGATAAAAGAGATAAACCAACAATTTTTAAAAAGCTAATTTATGTTTAAGTTCATCTACTTTCTTTTCCTTCTCTTTACTAAATTTTACACCTGTTCCAAAAAAGTACATACCATACACACACACACACATCCAGTCTAAGGAATATACATACAGTCTAAGGAATAATTATAAAGCAAAACACCCATAATATCACAACCACGTCATGAAGCAGAACAACGCCAGCACCTTAGAGGCCTCCATACACATATCTCTCCCCGAGGATATTTTTTCCATTGCTTTTCAGAGTAGAAGGGAGAGACAGAGTGAGAGAGAAACATCAATGTGAGAGAGAGACATCGATTGGTTGCATCCTGCACACACCCCAACTGGGGCCAGGGATTGAGCCTGCCACTGAGGCACGTGCCCTTGGCTGGAACCCAACCCAGAACCCTTTAGTGGGCAGGCTGACGCTCTAACCACTGAGCCAAACCGGCAAGGGCACCACTTTCTTTCTAAATTCTATCCTCTTAACTCCATTCTTCTCTCAAATCAGGCATCACCCATTTAGGGACAGAAACAAATCTGAAATAACCGGAAAGGTAAACTCCTGAAACCTAAAACATCAAATAAATAACGGATATCCAACAATCAAAAAAATTATCCAAAGACCATTTCTCAGTCCCCATCTGGCCTAACCTATCACGGCATTTGCTGACGCTCATCACTTACTCTCCAGGAAACGCCTTTCCATGTGGCCTCCAGGACCCCACCCTCTCCTGGACTCCACACTTCCCTTCCACTCTGCTGCCTGCTCACGCTCAGTCTCCTTTGCTGATTTCCTCTCATCTCTAGAACTTTTTCATGATCGAATGTCACAGTCAGGGCTCAGTTTTTGGACTTCTTCTCTTTTCTATTTACATTCATCAGATTGGTGATCACCAGTCTCAAGGCTTTAAATACTATCTACATACTTAACACTCCCAAATTTGTATTTCCAGTCAGCACCTCTTTCCCCTGAACCCCCGACTCATGTACCTTAGAACTCCTTCAGCACCTCCTCTTGGGTGTCTGAAGCGTATTAATCATAACATATCCAAAATTAATACCTTGATCTTTCTTCCCAAAGTTGCATCTTCCTAGTCTGCCCTCTCTTATTGTCCAAAAACCTTAATTTCCTATTACTCAAGCCTAGAACCTTGGTGTCTCCTCCTCTTGTCCATCCCACATCTAATCTGTCAGCCAGTGGTGGTGGCTCCGTCTTCAAAGTACAGAATTATTATTCTCCCTTATTCTTTTTTCCTTCTGTATTTTCTGCTGCCTGCCATTTCGTCCGCTCCACATTATTTCTCTTGCGTGGTTCATTGCAATAGCCCCCTAAGGAGCCTTCCCACTTCTGCTCTGGGCACCTACGACCTATCATAGCAGCCAGAGTGATCCTTTAAAAACATAACTCAGATCATAACTCTGTTCAAAACCTTCCAGTGGCTCCCTCTCTCAGAATAAGAACCTAGTCATACAATGATCTATAAACCAGGCAAAATCTGCCCCTCTCCCCAATTTTCTGCTTCACCTTCTATCCGTCTTTGACTCGCTTCACTCCAGCCATGCCCCGTTATACCTCAGACACCCCAGGGAGAACCCCACCTTAACGACTTGGCAATTACTTTTCCTCTACATGAAAAGTAATTATGTCCTTTCCCTTGGACATAAGGACATCCACAGGATCTGCACTGACTGGTTGCCTTATCTCTTGCAACTGTTTGCTCAAAAGTCACCGAATCTTGGTGAGGCCTTTCCTAATAACCTTATTTAAAGCTGTAACCTCCCATCTCTAGCACTCCCTATCCCCCTTCCTGATTTCATTTTCTCCGCAGCACTTTTCATCTTTTAACATACTATTCAGTTTACTTATTTAGATTATCATCTGCCTCTTCCCACTAGAATGTGCTGCCACAAAGACAGGAATTTTTGTTTGTGTTGTTATACAATCTATTTAGAATAAAAAACTATAAATTATTAAACTTTCATTTATATAAGCTGAACCAATGTTTATGAAATACATTTTTTTATTAAGGGGAATTTCTCTAAATGCATTCATCAAGAAAATCCAAATGGTTTCAAAAACCAGATAGCAGGAAATGTGTCAATCAAATTGGCTTTAATGGACTTATGTTGGACATCAGTGGGATCACTAGAATGGTAAGGACAGGGATTGTTGTCTTCTATACAAAGAAGAGAGCCTAGAACTTATGGGCCTCAATAAACATTTGTTGAAAGAATAAAGGAAGAGAATCCTGAGAAGCAATACATTATTCCAATGCAGTTTATGTATTTTAATTTACCCAGCCTACTTCCAAAAAACGAATTGAAGAAGCTTGGAATAAAGGTATTAAAGCATTACAATAATTAAATTACTGACAGAATATATAGAATAAAATTAAAAGGGGGTGAATAATTTGGGGGAGCCATCTCAAACTAAAATTGCTATTTTTCTGTGTTGCGTTTACAAAGTTATAACAAATGCCAAGCAATTTTGAAAATATTTTCACTCAATGTTATAATGAAAATAATTTTTTGTTGCTACATTTTTTACAAATATCTACAAAATATTTAATCATGTTGATATGATTTCCTTAACAGTTCCTATATTGTTGGACATTTAGGCTGTTTCTGGTTTTCTACTTGCAGAAATAACAGGAATAAAAATATTCAAGGATTATTTTTCTTGTTCTAGATAATTTCATATATCATTTATGATTCTTAACACATGTAATCAAATTGCTTTCCCAGGATTGTACACTTCTACCTTCCACTAATCCTGTAGGTTATACCAACTCTACAGCATTCTCATTCTGCAGTGAGTGCTAGAGTCTCATTTACTAATTCACTGCTTTTCCTCTCTTTTGTTTAAGATGAAATTTCTTTATAGGAAATGTGGTCAAAAACATAAAGAGAGGAAAAATACAAGACTTACTTATAATCTCATTGTTCCAAGATAATCCTATTAAAATAGAGCACATATTCTTTTGTCCTTACTAAAAATTAAGGGTGGCAAACTTACCATCTTCATATTGTTTTTTCCGAGGAGTATTTTTATCAAGTGATCCATCTAAAAAGCCTTTTCCAATCTCGGACCAAACCTGAAAATAGGAAAACATATCCACTATCTAATATGTAGATTTTCTAAATAATACCAAGCAACCTAAGCAGGTAATTGAGGAACTCTTATCTCACCAACAGAACCGATAAGTTCTTCCTTCTAAGTAAGCTACATAATCATTTACTCCACAGTCTCTCAGAATAGTGCAAATACATTTTAGTAATTTCAGTCAAGACATTTTCAAACTAATTATAACTAAAAAGTCAAAAGTTCCTTTCTGTCCTTGCTGGTGTGGCTCAGTTGGCCAAGAGTTATCCCCTGCACCAAAGGCTTGCAGGTCCTACTCCTGGTCAGGGCACATACCCAGCCTGCAGGTTCAATCCAGTCAGGGTGTGTGTGGGAGGCAACTGATCAATGTTTCTCTCTCTCTCTCTCCCCCTGTCTCCCTTCCTCTCTCTCTAAAATCAATAAAAACAAATTTAAAAAGAAAAAAGAAAAAAAGTTCCTTGCTTTAAGAAAAGGTATAAGAATGGAGAGGAAAAGAACACAGCAATATAGTCAGTTCTCAATTTTTTATTATTATGGCATGAGTGGATAAATAATTCATAGGGAATTCACTGGGAATACCAACTTTTACTTCACCTGGGATACTGATAAGATAGATGCAGGAAAAGGTTAAATATTAGTCTAAGATTTTGAGATAAACAACATAATAGGCTTCCAATTATTTCAAAATTGGGTGAATAGCCCCTGAAAAGACTTTAACTTGTTTATAATTCAAAAGTTCTTAGATAACTTGGGAAAGAACACACCACTTATTAATCAACGCTAAATATTTTTTAAATTATTAATAGAGTTAAGAGCACTCAACTCTTACCTGACAAAGATATGCCTTACAGATTATTTAATGTAAAATGTTAACTATTAAAAGTACGATAAAGATATATAGTAAATATTTACAATGGGAATACCCTTAAAGCGAGAAAGGAGTTTTCAAAGCATGACACAGAGCACAGAGCAACAATTTATAATAAAAAAGTTGAATTCATTGAGCTACTCCATCCCAGCAACAAAAAGCTGAACAGACTGAAAAATCAACAACTCTTCTTGGGTCCTCAAGACACAGGAAGATGCGGGGCAAACTGAAGCCCCAAGACAGGAGAGACAAGCCCAACAGGAAGTCCCGTCTTACCCAAAGACTTAACAAGCAGAAATCACCTCGGGAACCGTGCTGGGCTGGGAAAACCGGAACTGCAATTAACAAACTGCTGAGGTTCAATATTCACAACTCTGGGATTAAAAACTCCTCTAAGGAGACCCACTCATGGGAGGGAGGCCCCCCAAATACTGTGAGAATTGCCTCTAGAAGCTTGACCAGGTTCCCACAGTAAATGCTGGTGGAAAAATCCCCTTGGGCTCCCAGGACCAAGGAATTTAAAATAACAATGATTAATATGCTAAGGCCTCCAAAGGATAATACAGTAAAAAGCTATAAAATAGCCTCAGGTAAAGGCTAAAGTACACAGCAAGCAAGAAAAGACAGGCACTGTGAGCAGGGAGATGGAAATCCTAGGAAAGAACCAAAAAAGGGAAGCTAGAGATCAAAAACTCTAACAGAAATGAAGAACGCCTTTGCTACACTTACTAGTACACTGGTCACAGCTTAGAAACAGCCTCTGAGCTGGAGGATATACCAATAGAATCCACAAAAACAGTTTGCTATAAAATTAAACATATTCTTACTATAAAGCCCAGCAACCCCAACCTTTGATATTCACTCAGAGGAGTTTGGAAACTTACGTCCACGCAAAAACCTGTGCACAGGTGTTTATAGCGGCTTTATTCACAACTGTCAGAACTTGGAAACAACCAAGATGTCCTTTGGAAGGTAAATGGATAAACTGTGGCTCATCCAGACAATGGAACAGTCTCCAGTGCTAAAAGAGATGAGTTAGCAAGCCGAAAAGACACGGGGGAAGTTCAAATGCCTATTTCTAAGGGAAAAAAGTCAATCTGAGAAGGCTACACAGTGTATAATTCCAACAACTCTTCTTGGATCCTCGGTAAAAGATACATTGGAGTTCCTTGTACTAGTTGCAACTTTTCGGTAAGTTTGAAATTATTTCTACTTTGAAATTTGACAGCACAAAAACATGCAGAATGGGTATCAGCAGCTTTTGGAAGAAAATCCTGGAAATACCAGTAGAGGTCTCATTTTAAAAATACTATCTAATCAACATGAAAAAATTGGACATAAATGAGTCAAAAATTGATTCTTCATTATAATATAAAGGTATTTTAGGAATTCCTTAACCTATTTACTGTGCCTGGGTACACAGAATAGTTTATCTAGGAAATGGAATTTAGAGTGATTTTTCTACTTTTATTCTTATGCTATTGAATGTTTTATAAAAAAATGTACATTTTTTAAATCTTCAAACACAAGAAATAAAACTATTTTTATGGAAAAAATACAACACTAAACAGTGAGTGACAAGGTGTTAAGCCAGTTACTAGTGGTTTTTGTTTTAAACATATTACCTTGATTATTTAACCACTTTTATAGATTTGAATAAAATAAGAAATAATCTCTCAGTGATCCAATATGCCATAAAGTAAATGACCTAAGTACAATTACAATCAAATAAATTAAATATTGAATTGATAAAAAGAGATTTGTTATTTGTTCTAGTTCTGTGAAGAATGCCATACAGATGGCCAACAGACATATGAAAAGACACTCAACATCATTAGTCATCAGGGAAATGCAAATCAAAACCACAGTGAGATACCACCTCAAACCTCTCAGAATGGCTATTACCAAAAAGTCAACAAATAAAAACTGTTGGCAAGGATGTGAGGACTGTTAGTGAGGTTGTATACTGTTGATGAGATTGTAAATTGGTGCAGCCACTATGGAAAACAGTATAGAAGGTTCCTCTAAAAATTAAAAATAGAACTGCCATATAAGTCACCAATTCTACTTCTGGGTATTTATCCAAAGAAAATGAGAACAAGAGAATGAAAAAATAAAAACATTTGAAAAGATATATGCACTCCTCTGTTCACTACAGCATTCTTTACAATAGCTAAGATATGGAAGCAACCTGCATCCATCAATAGAGGAAAATAAAGATGTGGGGGCAACCCTTTTCGGGACCCCTCTCACATGCCGAGAGCTTTGCTTTCTTTACACAATAAACCTTTGCACTCTTTCACTTAAAAAAGAAGATGTGATATAGGTACACGATGGAATATTACTCGGGAATAAAAAAGAATAAAATCTTGCCATTTGCGACAACATGGATGGATCTAGAGGGTATTATGCCAAGTGAAATAAGTCAGAGAGAGAAAGACAAATCTATGATTTCACTTACATGTAGAATCTAAAAAATAAGCAAAACAACTGGATAAGCAAAACAGAAAAGAAACAGACCCACAGATACAGAGAACAAACTGATGGTTGCCAGGACAGGGAGGTGGGTAGTGGGTGAAAAAAAGTGAAGGGGGAAAAGCGGTACAAACTTCGGTCATAAAATAAACAAGCCACAGGGGTGCAGCGTACAGCACAGGGAATGTCAATAGCATCAGAGCAACTGCACAGTGACAGGTGGTATCTAGGCTTATCGCAGCGATCACACAGTAACGTATGCAAACGTCAAATCACTCTGTGGTACACATGAAACTAATACAATGTTGTATGTCAACTACACTTTAACTTTAAAATTTAGTTTTTTTTTAAAAAGAAGAAAATCAATCCCACATGTGAATCGAGAAAGGGAAGACAACAAATCAGTTTCAAACTAGATTAGCCTTTCTTCAAACCACATTCATCTCATTAGCATTTTAATGCTTACTGGCTTTACCTCCTTTCTATATAGGACATAGTCTAGTTGTATTAAGACTAGTTTTTTCTTTATTCTAGAATTCAGTATTATTTTATAATATACTTGGTAAGTATTAAAAGAAAATTTTTTTAGTTATCTAATTTTTAAATTTCAAAAAGTAATTGCAAGCAAAAAGTAATTCTTACATTTTTGAAAGAGACAATTATCTTTGCTTGCATTGTTGTGTTTAGCCCAAAACAAGGAAATTCTATACTAGACAATCTTAAGCCTTATTCTTGAAAGGCAAAGCCTACATTATTTAACTATCCAATTCAATGAGAGAATAATTTTAAATTTCATCCTAGACTTACTGTGCCATGGTTCTTCTGGAAGCAAATGACTTCCTGATCATCTTCAAATGTACTACCCATTACCATCTGTGTAACAGACTTCATAGCAAAGCCAAGCATATGCTGGCAAAGGGGTACATGCTGGGACTCTGGGTAGGAGAGCCATTTATCTAATAATTCTTCTGATAGCTGAAAGAGAACGGAAAACCACAATGATTTATTGCTTTAGAAAAATTCCTCAAGTAGATTTATTTCACAGTGTCAGGCTAACATAGGCTCCCCGTAAAATTATATATCCTCAGTGGTTCATATTCAGATTCTGTCAAAGGGTTTGTTAGGGGCAGAAATATTAATCATGCTCTTTAACCATGATTTTTAGCTATAGCTATAAGAAATATTAATCATGCTCTGTTAACCGTGATTGTTCTGCTCTGATTTGAGAAAGCACATTCTAACCTGGCTGAGAGTTGTACTCCCTGGGACGTGGGAGTTAACTTTGAAATTCAGTCTATCATCATGGGAAGATTAACAGCCTTGTTCTCGAAACAATGGAATTTCCAGAAGCACCCACCCTTGTTGACCCCCACATTGCCTGTAACCTGTTAGCATTATACCTTGTCTACTTCCCCATGCTTGTAATTCCTACTTTCCCATGTAATCTTTGTCCTTCTACCCAATATAAGCAGCTGGCTTGCGGGGGAGAGGTAGAGCAGATTTTTCAGGATGACCTAACTGCTCTCCCAAACTGCCGGCATTATTATAAAAAACACTCATATACTATTAAACCTTGTTTCTGCTTAATTGGCTCAAATGTTGACAGGCAGCCCGGACTCATCGTTGTCCGGTTTCAAGTTGATTTGCAAAACAAAACAGAAACACTATCACCGGGCCAAACTACTGATCAACTTACCTTTAGCAGGAGAGCAAAATTACTCTGCAGAGAATCAGTCACGCCATTTTCATACAATTTTTTTCTTGCATAGTTTTCACTCACAGTCCCACCACCAGATTGATACCTTAACAATGACTTTAGCATGGTTTCAAAAGGGTCCACTGAAACAGACAAATTAAACATTTCTAAGTCAAAGTAATCACTCAAAAAAAAAAAATCCTCAGCAAAAGGACATAGAGATCAGGGAAATATGGGATTGGGATTGCAGCTGAAAGCATGGCAACTCTTTTTTTCCACAACTCCTTTAAGTGTCTTTCCTAAATAGCAAAAGTTAAAGAGGCAATGAAAATTGTCACGAATATAATATCCTGCTCCGCCAGGCGTAGCTCAGTGGTTGAGCGTCGACCTAGGATCCAGGAGATCGGGGTTTGATTCCCGGTCAGGGTACATGCCCGGGTTGTGGGCTCGATCAATGACTCCCTCATCATTGATGTTTCTATCTCTCTCTCTCCCTTTCCTTTCCTCTCTCTGAAATCAATAAAGATATATTTTAAAAAAGAATACAATATCCTAACAAGGGAATTCCACTATAAACTTTCTACCTACAAGACAATACTATCTTTGACTTCTAAAAAAAACCCCAAAAACTCATGCCCTGGCCAGTGTGGCTCCATGGTTAGTGTTGGCCTGAGGACCGAAGGGTCACAGATTCAATTTCTGGTGAAGGGATCTGGGTTGCAGGTTCATTCTGGCCCTGGGTGGAGCATGGCAGGAGGCAACCAATTGATGTGTCACTCACATTTTCTCTCTCTCTACCTCCCTCCCTCCCTTCCACTCTCTCTAAAAAATATCGTTGGGTGAGGATTTACAAAAACAACAACAAAAAGCTCATTCCACTGATTTTAAAGCAAAATTGATAATTCTGTGTAATCGTCAAGTGTTAAGAGTTAAAATTATTTAGCTGAGTTCAAAAGTTTCTTTTCTCCTTTATTCATTATTTGAAGCGTTTCTTTAATGACTTTGTTTTCACACACATACAAAAATACATTGTCCTGGTAAACAACTAAAAAAGAAAATAAAATATATCTAAATCACACCACAGAGATGCTCAGTGTTAAACATTTGAGGTTTTTTTTAGAGCTGTTAACATTTCTTAACAGAGACAGACAGAAAATTCTGTCAGATTTCACAAAGCACTACAGTCCCTTGTTGTGAGGGCACTTGTCTCAGTGCATTAGTGTGATCACTTCAATGCTCTTTACATGCTTCCCCCACTCCCCAACACTAAACTATAATCTCCACAGGAGCAGAGGCCACATCTGGTTTTACTCAGCATTGTATTTCCTGACAGAGCCATCTTTCTATGTTGTGGAAAGCTTAGACCAGACTGCCTAGCTTCAAGTCCCAGCTCCACCACTAATTAGTGGTGTGACCTTGGGCAAATCACTTAACCTCTCTTAACCTCAATTTTGTCTTGTGTTAAATGGGAATAACCATAACATCTATTTCATAAGGTTGCTCTGAGAATTAAATAACTTAATATTTATAAAAGGTTTAGAATAATAGTGCTGGCATATAGTAATTGCTATACAAGTATTTGGTAAACAAAGTTAAATAAATCTGTATCATCATATTAAGGCCTGAAGGTAATATTAAAAGTATTATTTCATGCAGCCATTGATAAGTATTTGCTTCAAATTTTTATTATAAATAATGCTAATGTCTTTGTCATTTATGTGATATCAATTCATGATAAATTCCTCAAGATTATAATTGCTAAGTCAAATGTCACTGCCAACCTTCTCTCCAGAAGGTCTGTAAAACATTTATACTCCATGTTTCTCCATTCCCTCATCAACAATGAGTTTTGTCAGTATTTTCGTCTCTTTGGTCAGGTAGGGAAAAACTCATTTTTATTTGCATACTACTGATTATTAGTGAGGTTGAAATTTCTTCATTTGCTTATTGGCCATTTATATTTCTTCTTTCCCAATTACCTTGTTTTTACCCATTTTTCTACAATTGCATTTTATTTTTTTCTTATTAGTTTTTTTTTAATTTTTATTTATATAATAATTTCTATTTTAATCCTCACCCGAGGATATGTTAATTGATTTTAGAGAGAGAAAGAGAGAGAGAGAAACATCGATGTTTGAGAAAAAAACACTGATTAGTCGCCTCCAATGGGGGATTGAACCCACAACCTAGGTTTGTGCCCTGTCAGAATCAAACCCACAATGTTTTTGGTGCACAGGTTGATGCTCCAACCAACTGAACCAACAGACTGGGCTTTCTTATTAGTTTTTATTTACTTTATAAATAGATGGGTGGGAAACAGTTTTCCCATTTCTTTTAAATTTTTTCATACCTTTTTATTTTACAAAAATATAGTCATTAGCCCTGGCTGGTGTTGCTCAGTGGTTAGAGCGCCAGCCTGCGCACTGAAAGGTTGAGGGTTCGATTCCCAGTCAAGGGCATGTACCTGGGTCTTGGGTTCACTCCCCGCCCTCAGTCAGGCAAGTGCGGGAGGCAGTCAGTTGATGTGGCTCTCTCACATCCATGTTTCTCTCTCCCTCTTTCTCCCCCTCTCTCCCTCCCTCCCACTCTCTCTGAAAAAGCAATGGAAAAAATATCCTCAGGTGAGGATTAAAATATGTGTGCGTGTATAGTCTTCAGTTAATACACACTACGTATAGTAATGAGTGGCCAATATTTTCCCATTTCTCTTTCTCATCTTTTTCAAGGTGTTTCTATTATACTAAAATTTTTCATTTATATGTAGACAGATTTATCCAACTTGTGCTTGATGGCTCCTAGGTCTCATATCATGGTAAGAGAGGGTTTATCAACACCACCTTCAAAAATTTAATATTTAACTATTTTTTTCTATTACTGTTATGACTCCATATTTTAATCATTTGGAATTTATTTTGATATAAAGAATAAGGCAGATTTTTTCCCCAAATTGCTAACCAGTTTTCCCAATACCATTTATTAGCTTTCTCCTTCATCATAAAATGCTATCTTTATCATATATACTCGGCTTGTCTACTGGACTACTTACTCTATTCCATTAGTCTGTCTAGTCGTATCACAATAAAAGATTCTTTAAATTAACCTAGCTTTATAATACACTGTTCTGTCTGTTGGTAGAGGTATTCTCCTCATTAATGTTCTTTCCTAGATGTTTCTTGGCTGCTCATGTACATATATTCTTCCAGATGTACCCTGGAACTATTTTATCAGGTTCCCCCAAAAATTTATGTTCAGATTTAATTATACATTTATATATAAATACATATATAATTTACATATATATGAAAAAAATAATCATTTTATAATACCGTGTCTTAAATCAGGTAATAAACATAAAAACTTCAGCACAATGCCTGGCACACAGTATAAAGCATTCAACAAGTTAGCTATTCCTATCCACGAACAATGTATGGCTCTTTATTTACAGACAGCTATTCTTAAAAGAGAAGGATCAGCTAATCAGAAAGAAAATTAAACTTACCTGTCTTATTGGGGTTGATATGCTGCTTCAGTACATCAACAGTGCCCAAACTAACCACAGGGCGCCTGCCAAACCAGAAAGAGACCACGGGCCCATATCTCTCATGCAAATTAACCAGGAACTCATGCAAACTTCCACTGTTCACAATATCTGGAAGATTACCATCTCTGAGAAAAGAGCAACATTTGACAAAATAATCAATTGAACCTGGAAGAATCAAAAAAGCAATTGACTGTGTCAAGAGATGAGACCAAAAGTACATGAAATTCAATTACTGCAAAATCCAAAACTCAATTATATTTGACTTGTTTTCTAAAGATATACTTAGATACGGATTTGTCTGATATTTTGAGAGTTCATAACACTTCAAACCAAATAAGAAAGGTACACAAGAAACATCTGACTTAGAAACTTAAAAACAACCCAATTTTTGCAGCAGCTCATTCTGAGATAGCAATCATCATCATAGGCTGATGAAAAACATCAGCTCAGATTCAACTTTCACTGTTACGGCAAATGAAAGCAATTAAAGGTTTTGATTTATACAGCCCTCCTTTCTGTTCTTAACGAAGTTTAGGTTGTGTGCTAAGAGGTAAACTGGGAGTAAATAAAGGAACTAAATAAACTGAGTAATCTAAAAATTTGGTTTAGTTCGCATACCAAAAATTGAGTTGACTCTACTTGATTCAAAAAAAATTACTCACTTTTCTTCAGTTGGAGTAATCCCTGGAATTCCTGCAGCTTGTCTGGAAGCCTTAAAGAAAAGTTTTAAAATAGTTTATTTAGTATAATGAATTATCATACGTCCCGTAAGTCAGACATGTTTTGCCAAGACATCTGCAGGACCTTAAATATTGGCTTTCCAATTTGGTTGAATCTCAGGAATTATTTCTACGTTAAATACTAAAACTGGGTTCGTTGTATTTATTTATTTCATTTTATTTGTTAAAATGTTTTTATTGATTTCAGAGAGAGGAAGGGAGAGAGGGAGAGAAAGAGATAGAAACATCAACGATGAGAGAGTCACTGACTGGCTGCCTCCTGCACGCCCCCCACTGTGGATCGAGCCCACAATCCGGGCATGTGCCGACCGGGAATTGAACCTCGATCCTCTGGATCATAATGGTCATGCACAAACATTGAGTCATGCCAGTTGGGCAGGTTTTTTGTATTTAAAAGAATTATCTTAATATTCTTCCTCTGTGTCAATTAATCTAAGGGGCTTAAAGAATTTAACACCCATTCTACCTAAATTAATACATAATCAAGCATATTTTTCTTTGTTCAGTATCTATATATGGTCCCATCTAGCTTCGCTTAAAAAATAAATCAATGTCATGCTTAAAATAGTTTGATTTCCTAAAATAGTTCTTTCTAGTCAAAGAATTTACCAAAACACAATATGATAGTCATCTTTTGCTTAGTATTATTATCAGGGCCATAGGGAGGTGTCTGATATAGAAATAAATAAAATAATTCACAGCAAATTGTTCAAATGACAAACTTTAAGAAATGAGCTAGGGGCACCCGCCCAGGCATGGTTCAGAGGTTTAGCATCAACCTAGGATCCAGGAGATCGCAGTTCGATTCCCAGTTAGGGCACATGCCAGGGTTACGAGCCTCAATCACCAGTCAGCAGAGTGCAGGAGGCAGCCGATCAATGACGACAATCTCATTATTGATGTTTCAATCTATCTCTCCCTCTCCCTTCCTCTCTCTGAATCAATAAAGATATATTTAAAAAAAAAAAAAAAAAAAAGAAATGAACTAGAAAGAAGTTTGGGGAATTTTATGTTTTATAATTTTCTACCAGGTTTATGGTTGCTGTGTTTGGAGTCAGTGCTACTTTTTATTTTACAACAAGCAAATCACTTTTATAATAAGACTTTTATAAAATAATTTGTAAATAAACTACTTACAGAAAAAATAACCTAAAATATTCAATTCCAGAATCAATTCTGAATTTTGTCAATTTTTACTAGTGTGAATCAGACTTTATTTGACATGTTCTACTTAACATTATGTAAATAAAGGAATCTTATTTATTTGAACATTTAAAAGCTAAGCTATGTTCCACCATACAGCCAGAATTGCTTAATCATTTTCCTGCTCTACCACTTTAAACACCTGGGCTCTGTTCTAGCTTTTGTTTTTTCATTATTGTAAGTAGTGCTATGAAAACCTCTGTGCACCTTTCTTCCTAATTTGGAGTGTGTATGCTAAAAGAGAAATTCTAGGTTGAAAGGTACTAACTAAAGAGTTTTATGGTTTCCACTAATTACTATAAGAATGCTATCTAGACAACAGTATGTGTACCTTGCATTTAAATGATAACAGTGAAACCTACAATGTGTAATTCTGTCCTATAGTCTCATTAATAATGAATATTTTTCAAGTTTAATATCACAAATAGTGAGAAAAAGGAGGGGAGGAACCCCATAACTTGAAAAAGATAAAGTCAGTGGTATAAAAAAAAAATCCTATTTTTGCCCTGGCTGGTGTGGCTCAGTTGGTTAGAGCGTCGCCCCACATACCGAAGGGTTGTGGGTCTGATTCCTGGTCAGGGCCGGTATGGAAGGCAACCAATAGATGTTTCTCTCACTCTCACTCTCTCTTCCCCTCTCTTTCTCCAGCATCAATGAAAAGCATATCCACAGGTGAGTATTTTAAAAAATCCTATTTTTATTTTCTAGGCTGAAATTATTAATGACTGAAACAAGTTTCCTGATTTCTAGTTAAACACAGTAGATTGCTAACATTCATTTATGTCTTGCTCCTGGAATCCCACTAAAATGAAAGTGAAGAAATAAAAAAGGAAAAAACAACGATAAAGAGAATGAGAGAGGAGACAACAGTAGATGGAAAATTCAACCATTTTTTTTAAAGTGTTAAGCTGTTGGAGGAGTGATTAATTGACATAGCTGTGAGGCCACGTCTGGGGGTCTGCAGAGGAGGATTCCTACAAAATGCAATCTGACTGCACTCAGTAACCAGAAAGGCAGGGTAAGACTCAATAATTTAACAGCTAGTAATAGATCAGGATACAGGTCCTCTAGACACAACCCTAGGTGTCCTTTTCCATTCCTGTGATTACTATCCTTCTGGAAGGAGACCTAAAGATTCCACATTATTGTTCCTCAAGAACAACAGGCTGGGGAGGCGGAAGCACCTATAATTCTAAAGAAAAGTTATTTCCAACCTAGAATTTTATACCAAGCCAAACTATTATTCAAGTGTGAAGCTAGAACAAAAGATTTTCAAACAAGCAAGGTCTCATAAAATGTATTTCCCATGCATACTTTCTTAGGAAGCTATTGGAAAATGATGTACTGTAGCAAATAAAGGAGGGGATATCATGTGGCATCTAGGAAAGAGGGTATCCAATACAGCTGAAGAGAATACCTACAGCAATAGTAAAAGAGTAAGAACTAGGCAATCCAATGAGACGGTAGGTAACCAGTACTGACAGGGGAAGGATGATGGATCCAGAACGGATATCTTCGCAGGACAGAAAATACAACTGATATCTTTGAATACTGGGACAATTTCACAGAATAGTGTTATACACCAGTTCTCACCAACTCTGTTACCCTAGTCCATGCTAACACCATCTCTCACCAAAACTCTGCCAGCTTCCACCCTTGCCTCAGGCCCACAAGTTTGTTTTTAATGTAGCAGCCAAAAAAATTATTCTTCTAAAAATTTAAGAAAATTAAACTTTAACTCCCTTAAATTTAAAATGTCACTCTTTTGTTAAAACCCTCCAGTGGCTTCTCACCTCAGAGTAAAAAAGCTACCCATTAAATGGCCTACAACTAAAATCTGCCCTTCATCCCCATAATTGGGAAAGCATCTTTCTTGACCAGTCTCTTCACCGCAGCCACACTGTTCTCCTTGTTTTTCTGGAACACACTAGGCGTATTTCCCCCTAAAGGTTTGCATTTGCTATGCTCTTTGCCTTGGAAGCTTTCCCAGATACCCCGGGCTTGCTCCTTCATCTCCTTCAGGTCTCTGCTCAAATGTCTCCCTATCTCTTGACCATCTACTTAAAAATAGCGTGGCTGAGCGTTTGAGCTTCAACCTAGGATCCAGGCGATTGGGGTTCGATTCCTGGTCAGGGCACATGCCTGGGTTGCGGGCTGGATCCCCAGTCGGGGGACATGCAGGAGGCAGCCGATCAATGACTCTCTCATCACTGATGTTTCAATCTCTCTCTCCCTCTCCTTTCCTCTCTCTGAAATCAATAAAGATATACTTTTTTAAAAAATAGCAATCCTACCTACCCAACTTAATTTTTCTCCGTAATACTTAACACTAACATACTACATGTTATTTGTTTATACTGTCTGCTTCCCCTCACTAAAGTCTAAATTCTGTCAGTCAAGAACTTGCTGTGTAGGTGCTCACTGCTGTATCCCCAGCACATAAAACCCTGTCTGGCACACATCTGGCTGAAAGAATAAACAGTATTGCTCCTATCAGCTAATCAAAGCACAGTCTCATATAAAGATTATCAAAAATTCAACACCTGGGGCCCTAACTGTAGCTTCTCAGTAATTAAGATATGCCAGGAATTCCAGATGAGTAGTTGCAATATTCCAGCCTAATCTGCCCAGATGTAAGGTGCTCCGTCAGTCTCAGGGATGTATTTGCTGCTGCTCAGCCACTTCACAATTTTTGCTATCAAACCAACCCCTTGCTTTGCTGACCGTTTTAAAGATGATTCATTCCTCCTGTTTCCAGAACCACCCTCCGAGGCTGACGGTGGCAAGTGGAGAAAGACCGCTAGCAGCAGATTCGGGATAAAGCGCAGAGGCCAAGTCCAGCTCAGACAGAAGGCAGATGGAAAGGCGGCACGCGCACGCACACGCAGAAACACGCGCGCCGAGAGCATCCTCGGGAAGGAAGGAGCGGCGCACCCAGGGGCTCCCGCCCAGAAATTTGGGGTTGGCAGAGGTATCGCCACAGAGCCACCCAAAGTACTT